ACACACACACACACACGCCACTCACGCTTCTAGTAGAAAATACTGTGCAAATCCGTTGTGGGCCATGTTCTTTAATTTAACATAGCACATAGCACATTCACATATATATATATATATATATATATATATATATATATATGTATGTATGTATGTGTGTGTGTGTGTGTGTGTCTGTGGTGTGCGTAATTGTAATTTAACAGATTGAGTACCTTCAATAGGTGTTTATACCCCTTGAACTTTTTTTTCCATTTTCCACCTTACCACAAACGTCAAAGTTATTTGTTGAGGTTTTTCGACCAACACGAAGTAGCACCATCTTGTGAAGTGGATTAAAGACGATATGTGTTTGTTTCGGCCCCTCCCCCACCACTTTTTGAGCCACCTTTTTCTGCAATTACATCCCCTCAAAAATGCTGTTCTTCTTGCCTCTTCAGAAGGGCCAGATTTGTGGAGCGTACAATTTAGAGGGGCCTCATGGACAGACTGCGCCTCCTAGCTGTGGATTTCTGCAGCGCCCTCCATAGAGCCCATGGGCTGGTTCTCGAACAAATACTCTCCTCACTCACTGTCAGTTTAAGTGGATGGCCACGTCTTTCAGTTTGCAGTAGTGCCATATTTTCCCCATTTTTGGACGATGCATTGCAAAGTGCTTCTGACATGCTCAAAGATTGGGATAAAAAAAAAGATTATAATTAATCCAACATCGCCACAACCACATCCCTGACCTGTCTGATGAATGAATTCTTTGCTCTTCGTGGTGCTGTTGTTCACTAGTGTTCTCGTACAAAGCGCTGAGGCCTTCACAGAACAATTTCACACAGGTGGACTCTAATTTTGCAGACTTCATCATCGTATTTTCATTCCACTTCCGCATTATGTGCGACTTTGTGTTGGTTTATTACGTAAAATCATCACAAAATCACCCCCGTTTGGGATTGTAAAGTCACAAAATAAGAAAAAAGTTCAAGGGGGAAGAATACTTTTTCAAGCCACGGTTAAACTCAGTGGAACATTTTGTCACATATTTTATTGATCAGTGTGATTCTTTTTTTTTTTTCAAGAATGTAAGGCATACAGATATGTAACACCATTTTTACAATGACAAGACTTCTTTTCACCGCTACTACTATACAAACAATACAACATACAGCTAGTTGGGACAAATTCAGTCATGTATTTCGTACCCTCTTTACAAGTATCACATGCCGGGACAAATATATTCAAATTAAAATTATTTAAAGGGTTATTACAATGAAATAAGCTTTATCAGAACATCCATAAATACATGTCGCCATTTCTTAGGCGTGAGCTACAGAAAGGAAGGCATTACATGGAGAATTGCACAATTGTTTTGCTCATCGCTGTAAACGTTCACATCGACCCCTTCATATTTTCTATGGCGCAGATACACGACATGCACTTGAGAAGCAGATGCATAAGCAAGCCATTGATTGCAATGTTTTTTCTCAACTATGACTGCTCCGATCCTAATATAGGAACTCATTACAGCAGGTGATTATGCCCATGAAACAAGAAACAAGGCCAGCATTGTTTTTACTGAAACACAGAAGCCCTTGCATATGGATGTCATCAGCAGGTATAACCGCACAAGCTCCAAAGTCTAGTTTTGGCTTGGCCACTGTGATTTGTGAAATGGCAGCTAGAGGCACTCAGACAGCACTTCATGCTTGTCCGGCACAGACGATGCCTCTGAGAGGGGCTCGGTGATGAAGCTGGCACTCAGCTGGAGTTTGAGTCTTTCCACCTCATAGTTATGCAGGTACTCTTGAATCAGGTAGCGTTCCCGTTTGAATCGCGCCTTCACATCTGAGGGCACATCTGGAATCATCCACGCCACAAAGAACTTCACCACGAAGACCACGTGCTGCAGAGGGAGAGTGATCACAGGGCGATTGAAGCTCACGGTACCTTCTTCTACAATTATTTGAATGAGGGTCGAAGTCTTACTTCCATGATGATAATGAAGGCCATTTTGGCTGCTAGGATATGCCAGAACTGCATGGTGTGAGTGTACTCCCTGTAGTGACCTGGCGGGTAGCGGTAATCTCTGTATCTGTAAAACCCAACAAGGAGTTCCATGAAGAAGTATACGCACAACTCCGAGGTCGCCGCTGACTCTGTTGATTGAATGCCGATTTTCACAACAGACATTTTGACGTTGATGATAACGCTGATGTTTGTCTATCCATTAATTTGCTTTCCACCCTCGCGTGGTGGGATGCCTCCAAGTGGCGCGAGGGGGGGAATGCTGGGGCTCTTGGGCCCCAGACGCGGCTAAATGCCCACCAGCCAGTGGGGAAGGAGGTGGGGTCTCACTGGAAGGTGAGGCGCCCAGCGCTCGGCCCGCCGGAACGGAGGGGAGTGGGAGTAGCCGCACCACAACCCTCCTGAAACAATAATCAGGCTCGGGCACTTCCGGGGCCCACCCTGGGTATGAACCTCGCGAGGCACCAACAAGAGTCGTACCGGGTGTGGGACCCGGGTGGGGGGGCAAGTCCCTGTCGGGGGCCGATTGCCCAGGAGGAGGAGGAGGAATTTGCTTTCCAACTTGTCCTGTTTAGGTCATAGGTGATCAGGAGACAATACCAAATGACTTTGGGCGAGAGTACTGAACTGAATTAGGCGCCAAGAGGGCTCAAAGAAATAGTCACAATCCCACTTATTCCGACAGATAATTTAAAAGAATCAATTTAAAACTAATTAAGGCTTTACAGCCGGTGCCAAAGCAGCCCTTCGTCACAGATTCTGTTCAGAGCCTTTATGGACAGAAATTACAGACACAGGTGACCTCATTATTTTTTTTGCAGATGATGTGCTTCTATTGGCTTCATTAAGATGTGATTTTCAACTCTGGCTGGAAATTAATAATAATAATAATAATACATTTTATTTGTGGGCGCCTTTCTAAGCACTCAAGGACACCTTACAACAAGCAGTTAAAAACACAAATACAATGTTAAAAACAACATCAAATAAACTAAGATAAAATAAAACAAAATAGAGATAATGGATTCATGGTCAGAGTGAATGAGCTTGTCTAAACAGATGTGCTTTGAGGCTGGATTTGAAATGTGTTAATGAGTCTATGTTACGAAGGTCAGCGGGGAATGTGTTCCAGTGCTGGGGAGCAGAGCGACTGAAGGCTCTGCTCCCCATGGTGACGAGGCGGGCGAGCGAGACAGTGAGGAAGAGAGAGGAGGAAGAACGAAGAGAGCGGACAGGTGTGGCAATGTGGATGAGGTCAGATAGGTCTGGAGGGGCAAGGTTGTGGATAGCTTTGAAAGTAAGGAGCAGGATTTTATATTGAATGCGGTGTATAATGGGGAGCCAGTGGAGATGTTGAAGGACAAGTGTAATATGGTTTATGGATGGTGTGAGTGTGATAATGCGAGTGGCTGAATTTTGGACCAGCTGAAGCTTATGGAGTGTTTTTTGAGGGAGACCGAGCAGGAGGGAGTTATAGTAATCAAGTCGGGAGGTGACGAGGGTGTGAACGAGTATAGCAGTGGAATGAGGGGTGAGAGAAGAGCGGAGCCGGTGGATGTTTCTAAGATGAAAATATGCAGAACGAATGATGTGGTTGATATGTGAGGTGAAGGAGAGGGTGCTCTCAAGGATGACACCCAGACTCTTGACCTGAGGGGAAGGGGAGATGGAGGAGCTGTCAAAGAGAATGGAGAAATTGTTTATTTTGTTTAGGGTGGATTTGGTGCCAATGAGAAGGAGTTCAGTTTTATTGCTGTTCAGTTTGAGGTGAACCATGATTTTAATTCCTGCAAGCAGTTGGTTAGGGAGGATGGTGGAAGTGTGGTGTTTGGTTTGGTAGAGATGTAGAGCTGGGTGTCATCCGCGTAGCAGTGAAAGTGAATTTGATGTTTCCTGAAGATATTACCGAGGGGGAGAAGATAGATTAGAAACAGCAAGGGGCCAAGGACAGAACCCTGAGGAACACCTGAAGTGAGGGGAAAGGGGTGAGATCTAAAACATTTGAGCTGGATAAACTGGGTGCGGTCAGAAAGATAGGAGCGGAACCAGGAGAGGGGGGTGCTGGTGAGACCAATGGAGGAGAGTCTGTCGATGAGGATGGAGTGAGAGATAGTGTCAAAGGCTGCACTGAGGTCAAGCAGGAGGAAGATAGCGAGTGAACCGGAGTCAGCAGAGAGAAGAAGGTCATTGGAATTGAGCCAATCTGACTGTCATAAAAAAAAAAAAAAAATTAAAAAAAAATCTGATACAGGTTGCATATGGACAAAAAAATCTGGGTCGGATTTGCCTGCACTGTGAATTTAGCCAGTATTTTTTTTTCTTTATATTTGTGATGGACATCTCGCCAGATCCAAGACCCAGAACGATATTTATCTGGTAGTCTGACAGTGTGACCGTCGCGAACACCCAAAAGATGGTGCCGTCTGAGAAGGCCATGAGAATGGATGGATGGCTGGATGAATGAACCTCACATTAAGTACAGTATATGTTTCTGGAATGTGGGAGTACCTGGCAAAGACCCCTGCAAAAGCCACATGGAAGGGCGCGAGCCCAGTTTAGAACTTTCTCGACCGCGAAGCTGACATGCTAAATACTACAACCACGCAGTCCTTTTATCAACAAACTTGATCAAATGTGCTTAATACCTGCAGGTGGATGTTGAATTATCAAACCAGTTGTCCTGTTCTTCTGGCATGTGGCGGAAGGGGATCTGTGAGATGTTGTAAACTGACAAGCTGTTGTTCACGTAGCCCCTCATGGAGGCCCCTTTACCGTATGCGTACAGGTAGACCATACGGGGAATCATGTCGGAGGTGAATGCCATGATGAACGCCTGAAATCACAGCACAAGAAGCCGTTGAGAAATTTTGAAGGACGCCATTTTGCAAAAGAGATGGAGATATATGCGCAAACCAGCATAGTAACTAGAAAGTGCATTCATTGCACCTCTCATGAAGCAAAATAAAGTGCAAGACACAAACTCACATTGGTCACCACAGACAATATGGCGACCGCATTGAGAATCTCCTGCCAAGCTCCAATGTTTCTGGCCTTGGAAGCCACAGGTCGTCTGAACTGAGTGGTGAACTTCCACGCGTCCACGCGAATTTCCAGAATGTTGTTGAACAGAGCAAGAAGGGGAGCCAAAGGAAAAGATGCAACAAACAGAGTGATGAAACCAAACTGGATCACTGAGAGGAGCCAGAGAGGGTGAAAAGGAAGACAACAAAGAAAACATAATTGAAAGTTACATCTCAAGCAGTAATGGACAGCATGATGATTCTTTTAAAGGTCAAATAGAAGCACATACCAAACATTCATTTGATATTTTTCCATCTATTCTACGAAGAAAAATTATCTTACCCATTTCTAGGTATTCATAGAACAATCCCAGCTGGCTGAAGTTCTGCAGGACGTGGTCCTGTTCCCAGCGACTGTAATGGTTCTCAGGATGGTGCCTCCCCTTTCTGCTACTCCACCAGTTCCGCATCAACCTGCCGGATGCCAACGGAAATGTGAGAAATACCGCTGTGAGTGAGTGAGCTATTAATTTAACAAAATGGTTATTATTGGTTTTTTTTTTTTAATTGGAATGAAACTGCGCTGCATTATACTAACAGCTGGGTCTAATATTTTTGCTACCGGACTAACATTACAATATCACAGCTATGTATTTAAATGCATACGGTATTACGGTGAAAATATGACATTAGGTTCTCTGCACAGATTACTGGTTAGTGTTAACCAGTAATCTGCATGCAGCCTGTTGTCCTCCTTATAAACGCACTGGTGTCACACTCACGTTATGTGGCCTGCCAGTGCCTGGAAATAAAGTCCGCGCAGCAGACGCAGTGTGTCATTTGCATGGCAAAGCGATGAAGGGTGCGTGCTATCATATATATTAATTGGATATTTACTTCATCCATCACTGAGGGCAACCGTTTATCCATGTGACACTTTGACCCCCAAGTTCAACCACCTGGGTCACTTTTAAATCACAAATAAAAGAATACTATGTCTTGATTAACACAATCCAAGGCTGGACTGAACACTTTTGTTCAATTGACACAATTCAATTTCTTTTTCCTCTCAAGTGGCATATTTGAGATATGCATCATGGCATAAATAGAAAAAGCGTGGACTACAGGGGGCAGGCAGTGAATTGGAATTGAACCAAAAATGTTATGTATCAGGGGTCACCGATTAGGTTGCCCCCAAGGACCACATGAGTAGCAGAATTTCTGGGCCACAAAACACATCTGATTAAAAAGCGCAACAGCTAAATTTAGCCGTGAAAACTAATTTGTACATACAGTACATCAGTCGCCACATTATTAATTAGTAGACGCTTTTTCCCTGCCAAACAATGCCGAACGCAAGTATAGTTGCATAGCGTACCAGAAGCTTTTTCAGACTCTTGTTGTCACACGAGGCAAATTCACATAAGCTCTTTGCAACATTTTGCTAACCTGATATGGCTGCATGAGAGGAGATTTGCCTAGTGTCGGTGCGCCTCACGATCTGGCTAGTGAGGCATATGTACATTACCTCCTATGCATTTTTACCTAAAAATGTGGCGAATAATACGTGGAAAAATATAAACAAATTTAGAATTAAGATATAATGAACTCACGGCAGCAGGGCTTCCTGGATGTTCCCCCACAGTTGCTTTCCGGCCATGACGATCACCAACTGTGTCGTCAGCTCTATAAGACAGCCTCCAGGGTCACACTAGAACGGCAAGAAGTTTGCAGATTGTAAAGGGACGCATTTGAAAATACAGATTGAAGCATTTTGATTGGAGAAAAATACATTTCGTTTGTTCAAAGCCCGAGACACACACCTCCTCATTTCTCAGTTTGCTCCACTTCCCGAACATGTATGAGTATTTACCAGGAAAGCCCACAAATTTGCCCTTAAAGAAAGCCACATAGAAGCAAGACGAGTAATAGTTGACAAACTGGAAGAGAAACATCTTCATGGTGAGCCTGTTCTCGTATTCCAGATGGGTCTTTGGGATCTCTGGTGGAAGGGAGCACATGGAGTATAAATTTCAGACAATCACTTTAAAACTCATTTCAATGGGTAACTCCACAAAAAAAAAGGTTTCCAAATCAACAAACATGTATTGGTGGAGCAGACTGAGAATGGCAATGTACCCATATCCGTAATCCAGACAGCCACCCTCTCATAGAAGAAGTTGAGGATCATGATGATGACAAAGTTGATGCAAGAGGCGGTAGCAGAGGTGGCAAGCTGCGGTGTGATGAACCTGCCCACCACCTGGATCTTCCTCATCGGGTCTTTGATGATACTGGCAAAGGCAGCGTACACAGCCAACCTGTACGCTATGACCCCAATAATGCAGGCCAGGATCAGAGATATCTGCGGAAAGCACACAAAGTCGGTCGTGCTAGCAGGAGTGTGTGATGCGGGCTGGCCCATGGTGAAACTATTGACATCAAACATCCACATACCCAAAAAAGGACAGTGGCCCCAGACAGGCAGAAGCGAGCACACTTGCTGGTGACAGGAAGAAATGGCTCCATTTCCTGGTCGATGATTTGGATTGAATGAATACACTGTGTTGATCGACCTGTGTTGTTATGGAATGGAAAGAAAGGACTGGTGCACCTGAGTGATTTTGTTGAGTCTCCTGTTTGTACATCTAATTTCAAACTCGGGCCGAATTTGAAGCTGTTGCTGCGCCTCTTCAAAGTCAACCAAGTCCCACTCATACTCCAGCCGGGCTTGACGTCGCTTCCAAAACTCCAAAAACAGAGTTACTGTGGAGTACATTTGCAGAAAAGAAGTCAAGGTGATTTTAACGTCAGTGGCCTCATGCGACAAAAACAACAATGCTTCGTTTTGTTTTATACCCAAGACCGATTACAACCATTATGCCCTGTGAAAAGAGGATGACCTTGCACCTGATTCAATTTTCAGACAAGTGGATGAGAACTCTTAACGATCGTTTGTATAAGCTCGACTGTGTGCACTTTAGTTATTTTGTAAGAGCAGAATTTTAAAAACAGCTCTTGTCCTGCATCTACACTACTCACAAAAATTTCGGGACGTTGGGCTTTCAGGTCAAATTTCAGGATGAACCTCACATGCACTTCAACTTTTACAGGTGAACTTAATTTAACCTACAGTAAACTTTTGAACGTCCACGTCCAACTGTTCGGTGTTTCAGTATTTTTAAAAAAAAAAAATTTATAACTTGCTGTTCACAAACAAGGCGCCAAACAACAACCTTTACAAAAGGTTTCTGATCCATGATTCGATATTTTCAAGGATGTCGACTTCTATGTCTTTCTGTGATTCTATTAGTCTTTCTGTTGCAACCTAGTGATGACACTATGTGGCACTCAAAGCTCAATGACCAAACCAATCTGACAACATCATCCGTCTGCACAACAACCATCCCAAATTATTCTTAATCAGTTGTTCGTGTTGTCTTGGTCTCAAGATTTCAAAATGTGAAAAGCATGATAAAAAAGACTGTCTAAATGCAAATTGAAATTGAATCAGGACATTAATTTCTCCAATCATGCATGAAACAAATGTGAATTTGTCAAATTTATCCTGAAATTACCACCAAAAGCCAAAAATCACTAACTCTCGGTGAGTAGGGTATTTAAGAATTTATAGGTGTTTCTAATGTCATGTCTCATTTTGAAACCCTGTTGCAATGCGCTGGTTAGGAACCTCCGAGACTGTCCAAAGACTGCAGTATGCTTCGTTAGACAGGAAACCCAGTAGCGGAACATAATCGTACTGGCAAGTTAATCTGGCCATGAGAAGCACGTGGTTAGCCAGACGTAGGAAGTATGAAAGACTTCAACAGTGAAAATCTGTCCTCCGTGAGGGAGGGTTGGGGTCAGGCTGAGGTCATACGCATTTAGAGCGGCGCTGTGTGTTACTCACCCCAAATCCCCATGAATATGGCAAAGAACACCGTTCCCTCATTGTCAAACAGATGGGATTGCTGCAAGAGAAAACATCAAACGGGATCGGTTCAAGAGAGCAATACAGGAAGTGACACAATGAGCACGGCGGCATGTCGCTGACTCAGCAGGTTATATTTAATTCCTCGCAGACTGTGAATTATCATGCAAAAGGAGCTGTCCAAAGAGGATTAAGTTACCCAGGATGAGAGACACGTAGAGTTGAGCTTCCAGAAAGAGCACTTTTTGTCACACAATGGACACATCACAATCTTGCCCCCAATATTAGCATCACAAATTTCTTTGCTAATGGAAGAGAAAAAAAAAATGTCAACGAAATTCAACAGCCCAAGCGTCAGTATTTATAACTGTGGCATTTGGATTTAGATGTGTGTTGTAAATAGTTTTGGTGAAGAACAAATGCAAAACACAAGTGGGCAAACCGATAAGGGCAGCACATCATTAGAATTAGTTAATTCATTCATTCATTTTCCGAGCCGCTTAATCCTCACAAGGGTCGCGGGGGGTGCTGGAGCCCATCCCAGCCGTCTTCGGGCAGTAAGCGGGGGACACCCTGAACCGGTTGCCAGCCAATCGCAGGGCACACAGAGACAAACAACCATTAGCGCTCACATTCACACCTAGGGACAATTTAGAGTGTTCAATCAGCCTGCCATGCGTGGTTTTGGGAATGTGGGAGGAAACCGGAGTACCCGGAGAAAACCCACGCAGGCCCGGGGAGAACATGCAAACTCCACGCAGGGAGGCCGGAGCTGGAATTGAACTCGGTACTTCTGCACTGTGAGGTCGACGCACTAACCACTGGACCACCAGGCCACCCTAGAATTAGTTAATAATTTGTTCATTTTTTCTTAGTCGTGCAAAATCTAACATGCACCACACAGAACAAAAGATTCAACAAGATTCACAATTCGGTAGTGAAGGATTAATGGCTACCAACCTGGATATGTTGTCGTCGTAGCTAAGCACTCCGTAGGTGAAACATATAAAGCCCATGACAGCGGCAAAGAATAACATCTCCGTGTAGAATCCCAGCCATGCAAAGTAAATCCCGATCTTTTCCCCGTAATATTTCCTGGGAGCACAGTTTCATTTCAACAGCTTGTCTGACTTCAAGGGGAAACGCACAAGTAAACGCAAAGCAACTGAAAAGTTCTGTTTTCTCTTTTCATACCTGATGAGGTTAAGTGGCTGCTCTTTGTAAAAGCAGAGAAACCTGGCCCAGTGCGTGTACAAATTGAAGCGCTCACTCTCGCATTCTGCATTTCTTGCTCTCTTCCAGTAACGGCACTGAAAGGAACACCGATGCAGTTTTATAGGGAAAAGGAGTTGAACAGTTAAAGTTCTCTTAGGGCCCTATTTTTGTACCCGCCGCATATCTACTGCATCACTAAGTGCAGTCTAACCGTGCACATTGGTGGAGTTTTCTTTCTTTTTGTATGTTCATAGATGGGTGCAGGTACAGAGGGCTGTTTGCGCCATTGTGGGAGTAAACACAATTGACTTACTTTCTGGCCAATGAAAGCAGCGCCACTCGTTCTTTCTAAATTCAGCGTATCAGACACAAACACAGTTTTTAACATTGAGGAAACAGAAATAGACTCGCCGGAGTCCGTGCAGACGATCGCGATGCGTAAAGTAAGTTTGTAACAAACTGCAAGCAGACCTCCACTTGCGCATTATGTAAAGTGGAATACAGATCATGCCTGTGTAGTGAGCACTAGGAGACCACCTTACATCTGATTGTTCATGTCTGTGTTTCCCAACATAGCTGTTCTGCAGCCCAGGAGTGTGTTTTAATAAATATAATAAAGGGGATCATAATATGATGCGTCCAATTAATTGATTTCTACAATGATTAAGAGGGTGTGATGCACACTGTCATCTTATTTATGAATGAAATGCATCAACATCCACAACACACATCAGAGGAGCGCAGAATCTGTCTGCCTGTACCTCGAACACTAAAGTCCGGTCTACTTAATGTCACCAAATTGTCAGGTGTACAGTGGGCGTGTAAAAGGAAATGCTCTCGGTCTGTCAGAATGCTATGCGAGGCACGGCGCGGTCTGCCAAATTCCCAAATACAACAAACTAAACTTGTGCCAGTTTTAACACCGAGTACACAAGCGGTTGGGTACAAAAATGGAGCCCTTCAAGTTAAATGACTGAATGTAAAGTTTTTTTAAACAAAAACATTTGATTATTATGTGTCCATGTTAGTTTCTTCATAACATCTTACATCGTGAAGTGGGAATGCTGCTGTGTATGTCCCATTACTGAGTAGTCGCTTGATTCCTGTCTTGTCTTTGTCTTGTCGGCCGTTTTTGTAATAAGGACATCGCGCTAAGATGTAGTAGACCTGAGAAAAAAAAAAGATTCAAACCATGTTTTTCACAAATGAGAATACTGTATGTTCAAAATGCAAATAAATAACATTCAAAGAGAGAAACACACTCACAATCCTGTTTCTTGTGGATGGTGGGAAGAAAGTATCCTTGTCATTAATGAGAAAGAAGTCAGTCTTGCCTTTGTCAAAGGGGTAAGTAAAATAATCAGGTTGTGGGTGCATAATGTGTTCTGGCAAGCGGAAAGGATGTGACAGCCATTCCAGAGGAACATCTCGCCCGTGGGGGATATCACTGGCTTTGAAAGGAACTTTAATCTTCAAGACGTCCGCGTAGGTGGCCAGAACATCCCATGGAGCATGGATCTTCAAGAAGTATGTCTTCTGGTCTTTTGAGTCCTGGTATAAGAAAATGAATGAGTAAACAACAGGTTGGTGGCTAATCCATCCACTTGGTGGTGTTAAATTTACAGTGAGCCTCCCCTTTAAAACCTTTCTCACAAATATCTTGTGTCACTCTACATTGTCCTCTAGGTGGTGCACGTGTTCTGCATTTGTGGTATCTTACAGATTTGTCTTCTGTCTCCAGCTCCAATCCAGCTTTCTCAAGGTTGGCCTCAAACTCCCTCCTCCTCTCCTGAGAACAAACACACACATCACGCTGATGACAAGAACGAAAGCAGAACGAGGTCTTAACTAACCACATATTTCCTTTTCGGTGCTTGAATTTGATCAGACAGCCTGATGATGGGGTGAGGGGTGGGATACAGAAAGCTTTATCCAACAATAATTTGCACACACACACACACACACACACACACACACACACACACACACACACACACACACACACACACACACAGGAGATCGTGTGAGTGATATTGTGACACTAAAGCTTGAAGTGGATTTCATTCACACCCAGGTCCATTCAAGACCAAATTCCTGTTTATCAAAAACTTTGCATGTTGCATCCGACCAAGTGAACTTTCTTCTGGGTGTACTGGTGATTTTAAAAAAGGAACAAAATAACTAATTATTAGTAAAAATCTTGTTTTGATTGTAAAGTGTCCTTGAGTGTTTTGAAAGGCGCTTATAAATGTAGTGTATTATTATTATTATAAAAACAAAAGATGTAGTGTGGTGGCGATTGACACTGGTATAAAAGACGGTTAGTACTTGCGCCACTAGGGGGCAGTACAAACGAGTTGAGAGGTAACCTGAAACTGATGACCAAGCAAGGCTCCAATTTGCTTAGTTTCACATTCAGCAGTTTGAGAACAAAATTATTATTCATTTGGGATGATGCTTCTGCCCACCTAGTGAATGTTCATACAAAATGGATCTTTACCGAGGGCGTGTGCTAACACTCTATGAAAACCTTACCATGAAAAGCTGTCTCTTTCTTCAGTGATCACAAAAGTCAAGAAAGGGACAAATGTATAATTGAAGAAAGGAAAGCAGTTGTCCATTTTAGTCCAAAAATGAATATTTACATGTATTATTTATAACTTGTTTTAGTAACAGTTGAGACTCACAGTGTTGCTGTGCCAGAGCCCACTTTTGTAATCTTCACACCACATCACTCTGAGCACAAGGTTGGGGGTGGTGCAAGTGCAAACAACACATTTGTTGGGCACAGGCCCTCAAGCAGCAACTGGTAAAGTAGAAACGTTGTTGCTAATAGCGACATTGGGTAATGAACTGCCTCAGTTGCTGGAAGCAGGGTCTAAATTAGACCAATGGTTCTTTGTAACAACTTTGCTACATTTCTCAACACATTTCTCTAACTTCATGTCTGCAAAAAAAAAAAAAAAAAAAAAAAAGAAAAGAAAACCGAGTAACAAGAATTAATAATTTTGTTTTATGTAAATCTTCCTTCCTCCACATGATCTTATTACCGGGTTTTTAACAGTCTGTATCATCCACAATTGAATGTGTAAAGAATGGTGATAGTTTTAAGTTTTGTGTCAATGGAAAAGAGGTTACTATCATCACTTCCTATTTTTCTTTCTGAAGTATTACTTTTCTGGATTGTGTAACAAGGCGAACAGTATCTCACTTTGTCACAGTAAAATGATGAGTAGTCAAGTGATGGCAGCTTGTCCTTTTTCGAGAATATTTGCTGGCGATCTAAACCCAAATTTTTACAGCATTTTCCTGGTTTGTAGTATTTTGTGTAAGGTATAAATGGGAGATGGGGTGAGATAAAATTTGTTGGCTTTGGCACATGGTGTAACAAGCAGATCACCTGCAGTGTGACGTTTATCACTCAAAACATACCGTCTTGACCCCTTTGTGTTGAAAATGATTGTCTTTGTCGCAATGACATGATCTAACATCTAATTATGTTAATGGAGAAAGCAGCATCAAATGTGTGTGAACGCACACGCTTCGGCAATGCCCCTCGTTTGTGTGACGAAATCCACACTTCACCGTTAAGCTTCTGATGTGCCAGTTTACTCGGAGTGCAGTGTGAAAGTGTCTTGTTACCTGTTTCTTCTCTCCATCTTTGTCATCCACGTAAGACAACACAAAGTCAATCCTTCGCACTCCATCCCTGAAGAATACCGTGTCTTTGGTTGGTTGTAGTTTCTCTGTCTGAGATAAACAACAGGAACAATGAAATCGTGGTTAATGTTTCCAATGGCTGGGAACGAAGAAAGAAGAACATTTATTCAAAGATACAGGGCTCTATTTTTCACACGTGCTCAGCGTTAAAACGGATGCGTCTTAATTTCGTTCCGGGACAAGTCTAGTTTACCCTGTTTGGGAATATGGTAGACTGTGCTACACCTTGCTAGGTGTTATGGCAGACCTACTTCAATTACATGCCCCCGGCGCACTGGACAATTTGGTCACAGAAAGTAGAACAGACCGTAAAACAGCTAAAAGCAGGTCTAAGTTATAGCGCATGAGGTATAACAGGATTTAGGTGGATTTCACATTCTCCACTCCGTTGAGACAGTATGTGTGATGGATGTCACATAATATGACAACAGCGTGCATCAAACACTGAATAATTGTAGAAATCAACTCATCCATCCATCTATCCATTTTCTGACCCGCTTATACTCAAAAATAGATTGACTTGCAAGATTATATGAATTTGTATGAATCAGGCATTGACATGAGAATATGTAAGGTATTCGGCACTAATTAAGATACAGTCAATCATATGAATCATGACAATATGTGGACTATTTCGGACCTAATTAAAGATACAGTCAGTGATATCATGAGGTATACAGTAAATTGCACTCCCATAGGCCTACACATTCACATACACACGATTTAAGAATTGACATTCAACAGCCTGACTGCCCAGGGATAGAAAGTGTTTCTGTGTCTGTTGGTCCGGCTACTCATGACTCTATATTTCCTGCCCGAGGGCAGAAGGTTGAAGAGGCACCTCCCAGGGTGGGATGGATCAGTCAAGATTTTCTTTGCCCTTTGTAGCTCCCTTGAGTTCGCGATGTCATCCAGGGATGGCAGGGGGCAGCCGATGATTTTTTTTTGTGCCGCCTTTATGACTCCTTGCAGAACATTTCTGTCCTTGGCCGTGCAGCCGGCATACCATGCTGTGATGCCGTACGCCAATACGCTCTCCACCGTAGAAAGCGGTAGAATGTGTGTCGCAGCTGTGCCCCCGTCTGGCATTTGTTCAGCAATCTTAAGAAGTGCAGCCTCTGTTGCGTTTTCCCGACCAAAGCATCCGTGTTGGTGTGCCATTTGAGGTCATCCGCTACATGCACACCCAGGAACTTAAACGTCGAGACCTTCTCCACACAGACACCGCCTATCTGTAGTGGGGAGGGGTCTACTCTCTTCCTCCTCCAGTCCATCACCATCTCCTTTGTTTTGCAGGTGTTCAGTAGCAAGTTGTTTGATGAACACCAGCCTACGAATCTCTGTACCTCCTCCCTGTATGCCGTCTCATCGCCATCGGAAATGAGACCCACCAATGTAGTGGCATCGGTGAATTTCACAATGACATTGGAGTCATACATGGGGGTACAGTCATGTGTGTACAGCGTAAACAGGAAGGGGCTCAGCACACAGCCCTGGGGCGAGCCCATGCTGAGTGTTAGTGTGGAGGATGTGTGGGGCCCGCCCTCACAGTCTGTGGTCGATCTGTCAGAAAGCTTCTGATCCATTTGCAGGTGGGGGTTGGGTAGTCCAGGTTGTGTGTGTGTGTGTGTGTGTGTGTGTGTGTGTGTGTGTGTGAGATGGTAGGAGTGGGTAAGAAGGTTTGTCACACAGACACACTATCGCTGGTGAAAGGCAGTCACCAAGTGTTCACTTCACTGCGGCCAACTTTACATCATCTGAATGTGGAAAACATCTTGCATTTGCTTATAAACGTACAGTACTTTGTGTGCGCCTATCTGCTGCAAAAACTGAGTGAGTCCGTTATTCTTCGCCTCTCGTGCACTGAAGTTTAAAAGGAATGAAAGGACCCATTTCGGGTAGCCGGGAATTCCATTTCTACCAGCACGCATCTACAAATACACCAAAAGAAAGAAAACTCCACCCATGCGCACAGTTAGACCTGACTTTGCGCAAGACTTGCGCTGGGCACTAAAATAACAATGTGTTGTTACTTTAAGTAAGAACTTCCATGTCATTTAGATAGCACAGTGCATTTTACAATTATCAGGTCATGTTGTACTGTTTTTTTTTTTTTTTTAAATGAGCATTAGCATAAGTGCAAAACTTTCTGCTCACCAAACCAAACATTTCATGTTGTAAAACAACCACATGAAAGAGTCCTAACTATAGAGGGTGCAGCGCTCAACATATTATTTATACCAAACATATGTTCCAACATGATTGGAGGGAATGAAAAAGCACAAGCAAATGTCCATATATGGAGTTAATATCTTGACTGGAAGAGCAAATGTTAGGTTAAAAAAAACAAAAAAAAAAAAACCCAGCCAGCTTGTTTATCAGAGCACCACATACACTTACACGCCATCTTGTATGAGCGATATTAAGCTACAAGTGGAAGTTAATGTGATATAGTGCTTGCGCATCAAAACCGTTGACCAAGTAGTACTGACTAAACGTTCCATTAGAGGGCTGAAGTCAAATAAGCTTTTCAGTGAAGATGAATCTCAGCTGGCTCTCGCCAGAGCATCAATAGTTTCTGTGTGCCCTCTTGTTCGAGAATGACAAGAACCCTTTGAATAACTGAGGTCTTGTGATTCAGCAATGAGTGCGACAAATCACTAAAAGGCCATCAAACATATGCTGCTAAAGCACACTGACAGTCTGCTGAAACATGCAAAATCCCTTGTGACATTACGGCTATTCTGTGTAAATCTCCAGCATAATAGCACAAGTTAAATCAGAACAATTGTGCCAAAAAAAACATGACAAATTATGTCATCGGGTCAAAATACCTTTGATGACTGCCACGCAGGGGGTAGGGACTATGTTGGAAGTTAAAGTAGGCCACATCATGATATGTACTTGAATTGTAATTTAGTTCATATTTATAATAAAAATGAAATACAACTCAATGGTATTGTGTATGGTCGACTGTTATACTGAACTAAAACACGAATAAAACGGATCAACTTGTTTTAAATACATTCTCAAGCGCTGGAAAATAGCACAACTCATAAAAAGTAAACAAAAGAAAAGTTTTGAGTGAGAGCAGTTTGACTTGCTCCATTTTTGAGACATCTGCAGAAGTTTGTACACAAGTGATATTGACAACTAAATACCTCCAATTCCATTTTCTTCAGTTGTCTTGATTAAACGCCCAACATTAGATTAGGATTCAGAGATGCCAACTCCTCTCAGTACCTCTCAGGAACTTTCAGAATATTTTGTCAGGAATTTTTCTATGTTTTCAGGGACACTTGTATCCCACCAAAACAAACATACATTACCATAAAGATGACAAACCATACTAATATTTTTTAATAAGAAGTATTAAAGTAACTTACATGTTGTATGATGACCTAAATTCCGATTACAACAATGGCCCTAGTAGTGCTGGACACAATTTTATTCCCTAATATTGGTCATGTGGAATCCTGATGACAATACATATCCCGACAGAATATTTTTCCTGAAAATGACATGAAATCAATGCCAATTTTCTCAGATCATTTCTGCATTTATCTACAAAACACACATTTCAATAGAGTCGCAGGACAATTTTTTAACCTGCCACGCATGTTTTTGAAATGTGGGGGTGGGGAAACCGGAGTACCCGGAAAATACCCATGCAGGCACAGGGAGACCATGCAAACTCCACACAGGAAGGCTGGAGCTGGAATCAAACCCTGCACCTCTGCACTGTGAGTCCGACCCGCTAACCACTGGACCACCAGGCCGCCCTGTGTATGAAATGCGCTTTATAATAAAGCTGCCTTGCCTTACCCTCTAAGGTGCACAACAGATTTTGTAAAAATATGCCCAGTAGGGACTCGGTGCTCAGATGCCGCCATGATATCTCAACAACATACTTTCCCCATCACTGCTTTGTCTGTATCGTCTTCAAGAAAGAAAAAAAAAAGAACTGTCCCTATTATATGATGATGACTTCTCGGTTGGATGACTCGATTTATTGAACAAAAAATGTCGATGAACACTTTCTCACTGCATTCACACAACAACAAAAATCATTTTCTTGCCAGACTGTTGAAAGGAAATGATGATGTCAATGTAGTCCATCTTACCTCAGTGTGTCCCGGCAGGGTTGTTCTCTCAGACAGTGAATTCACATCATTTCCACCATTTTCATCTACAAGACAAATTGGTACATTTTAGTCTGTGTGTAACTAAAGCCAAAAGTGTTTATTTCATGACTCTCCTCATGGCCTCTCGGCCAAAACTTTGGCTTTGTCAATGGCAGCATAATGAAACTAAATGTGTTGGATCTGTAGTTTTCATTCAGCCAATACATACGAAACACCAACAAGAACACCAACACTCAATGGAAACCTAGCAAAATATATGGAGTCACTAAGAACAAAGAATAACTTTATTTCTATGCATTCTTTAATTGCAAAATGTATTAATTATATTGAGTTTTTGCACTAATTAAAAAAAAAAAACACCTTTGTCCATTAGGGCTGATCATCTCTGGTCTGTGGCTGTGAAGATGTAAATCTTGATAAACTACCAACGATCCGATACATGAAAGTTACTTTAGTAGCAATTGTCAATGCGAGACCACCCGATTCACCTCCTCAGCACAATGCAGCGTGATACAGCACAGTTTGATCCAACACAACCCTGTTCGATTCAATTCGATTTGATACTACGATGCAAAGAAATTATGTTTATGCACTTCCATGACTTCAATTATTTATTCAAGACAATCAATCAACCATCGGTGCACGTTTTCAGAATGTGGGAGGAAGTAACCAGACAGAAGTACGGAGGGAAAAAATGCAAACACACACATAAAGGCTGGATCCAAGATTGCAACTGTCTGACTGTGTGACAGATGTACAAACCACATGTTGCACCAAGCTGCCAACACAGTGCTCATATAGTCTAAACATTATAGTCATTGAAACGCTGCTCATCTCAACTCAATTTTATATAGAGTGCACTTTAAGAACAATGACAGCTGAAAGTGCTGTGTATAAATACAAACTGAGTGTAAAACAATTCAACATAGCATAATTTAGAAACAATAAAGACTGAAACAATGTAAATAAATTCTTTTGATCCGCTTATCCTCCCAAGGGTCGCATGGTTGCCTATCCCAGCCGTCTTCGGGACGTAGGCGGGGGATACCCTGAACCGGGTGCCAGTCAATCTCAGGGCACACAGAGGCGAACAACCATCTGCGCTCACAGTCTCACCTAGGGACAATTTAGAGTGTTCAATCAATCTTCCATGCATGTTTTTTTGGAATGTGGGAGGAAACTGGAGTACCCGGAGAAAACCCACGCAGAGCCGGGGAGAACTTACAAACCCCACACAGGGAGGCCAGAGCTTGAATTGAAGCCTACACCTCTGCACTGTGAGGCTTACACGCTAACCAATCGACCACCGGGCAGCGTCATCAAAATAAATAAGACGGTGAAACAAGGGCAGAGGATCAAGCTGTGTTCAAAGTCAGGGAATAAAAATGTGTTTTGAGGCAGGTTTTAAACAAAGATTGAGATGGATTGAAATGTTATGTCTTAAAACAAGGAGTAGAACAACACAATCACAACTAAGGCGTAGAAAAAAAAGTAGTGTGTTTCCGGTAACCCGACCGACCGAGAATTTCCTACGTCGAAAAAAAACTTTACGGTCGGCATTTTTTTCAAACAACCCTCTACATCAGGTGTCCCCAAACTACGGCCCGCGGGCCGGATCCGGCCCGCCTCCGCATTTGGTCCGGCCCCCTGAAAATACCACAGAGTATTTTGATTTATTTTTCATCGATGTGGATTTGTCTTTGATCATAAAGTTGGGCTTTTGCAATAAAATGTTCCTTAGTTCTGAACCGTTTTCATGATTAACTATTAATTAGTAACTATTTCATAAACACAGATACAATAAGGTGACATTTGGTGCATCTTTCTGTGCCGTTATCTGGCAACGCCAGAAAAAAAAA